TGGAGAAGCCGCCAAGCACAGGCAGATCACGAAGATGGCGAGTGCCAGTTTCACCTGCTGAGCTCCGTAAGTAGGGGGCAGGTGATTGATATAATAGGCCAGGCACGCATTGAAGCCCCCGTAGTAGGTGCAGTTCTTGAAGATGTTGGGCAAAGGCATGGTGCCATGGGAGAAGTGGCGCACGAAGAGCGTCTCCAGCAGGTGTTTGACATAGTGGAATGAGTGACGGATGCAGGGGAGGTGTACCACCGTGTGCCAACTGGATGTGAAGTCATATTTGTGGCCACAAATGAAGGGCACTGGGAAGTAGAAGAGCAGATAGATGAAAAAGACCCCGTGTACTCTGTTAGGAAGACCGTCACCCAGCTGATCTGGGCCCCCAGGTCCCGGAAGTAGAGTGTGGCCGTGGTGCCCATGGGCAGCTTCTTCAGAACATCCCTCATCCTTCAGGGACTTGCCCTTGGGGTCCAGGTGGAGGGACTGGTGGGCAGGGTACCACTGCGGATGGGTCTTGGTGAAGAGGTTCTTGATCTCCGCAATGGTGGCATGGGGCTCCACCTTGTCCAGGAAACCAGCTTCTCCCTTGTCTTTGCATCCAGAATCTCCACCTCTTAGTGCTTCATGGCTCCCTCCCAGGGCGGCTACTGCTGCGTGCCTGCTGCTGCCTAACTGTGCGGCACAACACAGGGTCCCTCCGTTCGCGGTCCCTGACTTCCCGCAATGCTATATACCAAGTGGCATTATGTAATCTTCTTTACAGAAGTCCCAACACAATATTGCCTTATATATTTGGTCTTTTGATAGTTTACTTGTACTTTCTTAATTTTTTTTTTTTTTATTTGCCATCTCAGGATTAACTTTATATTCAGAAAAATGCTGAAAATGTCTCATTATTCTAGCCAAACATTTAAACATTTTATTATTTAATTGGCCATTTACTCCACAACCTCAACTGTAGATAATGCCTTTGAGAACACTTAAATTTGGGGGACTTACTTAACATTAGAATTCACTGAACTTAAAAAAAATTACTGTCCCTTCATAAAAATCTTAGTGTTATTAACACTCACTCATATATCATACTGCTACAGTAAATATGGTACTGGAATCAACTCACATCATTATTTATTGCATAACAAAAGAATGCCCATCAGTATACATCTTAACTCTCACACACATTAGTACTCTGAATTTTACTCTAAACAAATCTGTAGCTTTATTAGTTTGTTAAATTTAACAGAAGTAAATTTACAATGATTTTGGCCTTTCACTTGTGCAGGCTCCTCCATTAAGGGTACCCTAGCAATGTTTACAAGATCATTATAATTTTTGTGAATTTTCCAATCATAAGACATTTTAACCACAGTTGTTCTGCTGTCACTTTCCATACTGACTTCCCGCAGTGCCCTAGGGTTTGGAATGGCCACAGACACATTTGGAATCTGGCTAACGAGAAGTGAAGTTGGGGATACTTTTATTTTGGGTTTAGTGGGATACATTTATGTGGCACACTATCACCTTAATGCACAGGTAAGTAACTGCTACCTGTTGGAATGCAGGAATAGCTCCAAGTACCCTCCTAATGCTCCTGGACTCAAAGAGGGGTTCTTTGATTGTCATCAATCATGCTCATTCAAAGAGCATATAAGATTAGTCACTGCACAAGAAACCCGAAAATGAACCTGAAATTGTAAGTTCTTCTATGAAAGACATTTCATAGAGATTTTTCCATATACTTGACAGTAATTCTACGTAACATTATCGATACGATTGATGGAGCTAAGAGAAACTTTTCCAAACGACTGAACAAAAATTCTCGTTCAACTATGATAAAGCAAAGACAAAAGTTTGTTTCTATTCTCTTTATAGAAAATATCACATTACTGTAATGTTAAATCATACAGAAAAAGAGACAATAAATTAATACAACTATTATGCTTTTTCTGGATTTTCGATGCCTATTGTATTTGTGACCTTGGGAAATTTTGAAATTTATTGTGATGTTTTTCTCATTTTCAGTAAATATTTGCATATAGCTAATATTGTATTTGTAATTTTCTTTTACTTTTCTTTAAGATCTCTATTTGTGTAAGCCTCCATACTACCTATGAAACCTGCATTCAACCCCGCATGATAGAAAACAAAAATAATTCTATTTATTTTTCTAAGAAGATTGTTTTATAAAAATAAAGTAGGCTACATATTTATTTCAAATTAAATGTATTT